TGTTGAATGGTTAGATGCAGCATTCTGCTTAGGCGGTTTCTAAGCTGCTTATTGCTGGATGTTGGGAGGATGTAGGCAGGGAAAAAGCAGGATGCTAGCTGTTTTTCCAGAGTTCTTTGTCTAAGTGCTTTGTGGTGGTCAGAAACAGGATACTGGGCTAAATCAGTCTTCGATCTGCATGGCATTGCAATTATTTTGTTATTTTAAAAATTAAATGTCATGTAAATGTGATTAAACGGGCAAGGGATTATTAATACTAGCTGGAGACAAGCAAATTATTTCCAGAAATAACTTTCAACAACCACTCTTGTTTCCTCCAGAACAGGATCTCTCAAATTCTCAAACTATTTTCATAATAAATCTTTTTATGGAAGCCAATCTTCTGCTTTGCTGAAGAGAATATCTGTGTGTAACTGGCCATAACAGAAGTACAGATCCTTTACCCATTCCATAGTTAAATTATGGAGTTTTTTTGCCCCACAAGAAGTTGTGGATGCTGAAAATACACCGGTGTTCCAGAGAAGTTTGGCAGTTCATGGAGGAGAAATTGAAAAATACAGTGGAAAAAGTAGTAATGTCCAAATTTATGTATAAAGAAAACCAAATAATAATAGGCTTACAAAGTCTCTCAGCTGTTAATGGTTTGAGGCTGGGAGAGTACATACAGACTTCCTTATTCTTGCATAAATTGTAACTAATAACTTAGTGAAAGCTAAATATTATTCAAGCTTATTCAGCTTTTAGAAGTTAAGTGCCTTTATTTTTCTTGCCTCATTTTGCTTGTCTTCTAGACAGTAGCATTTTGTTCCCTTCCTCAACCAGAACAATCTCAAGGGAAAATATTAAAAAAAAAAACCTTGAAGCTTGTTGAATAATGAAGGGTGTTAATACTGTGTTGAGCCAACCACTTGAAAGACACCTGAGGATAAAAGTTCTTTACTGTAATGCTTAGAAAATTTTGACTTTAAAGAAGAATGTTTTGTATGAATAGCATTTATTTAAATTTGTGCACAATAAAGCACTTCAATAGAACATGATAACGTTTTCTTTTTGTTGTTGTCCTGTAAATCCTAGTTCTTGACTCTAAAAAAATGAACTAAAATACTTAATAGCTTGGTTTATAATTTGGCAGATAAATATGTATTGTGTAATCTAACTGTGACAATGGAAATAATTCAGAGTACTCAGATATTAAGATACTATATAATAAAGACACTATTTAAAGTAATTTTTTTAATTTTTAAAGAATCATAAATAGCAGCATATTTTTGGAATTTGTGGTATAGTTGCATTGCTGTAGACTGTTGAACACAGGAAATAATTAAAGAACTATCAGAATACATGTTCAGATTTTCAGTGAACTGATCAGGAAAGAACATGTAGCTGTGACTTTCATGTTTGAATACTAGTTGTAGAAGTTTTGAGTTTTTGTAATCCATTATGTGTTTCAGTGGCACAGAACAAGCAAACAGACTTTTCAGTACTAGAGCTGCTCTCTAGTCTGATACTTTTATCTTAAAGATGACTACTTTTCCATCTTCTAGGGAAGCCTGGGAATTGTTAAATCTACAAAAAATCCCATGTTTTGAGGAGCTAATTCTTATCTTCCAGTGCCTTAAGGAGTGTTTAAATCGTTAGAATTGGAATAGGTTTTCTTCTATAGCAATCAAAATGTTTTGTATATGAATGCAGTTATATGTAGCAATTAGGTGCTGTATTAATATCTGAATTAGCAGCTCTGGAATATGGCCAGCTTGTGCCAGGAAAGCAGCCAGTAGCCTGGAGGAGAAATACTTTAATTAATATGTAATAAATGCTCTAGAGAGCTCTCAGTATTCTGGCAAGCTGCATTTGTAATTTTTTGTATTACTAAGGACAGTTGTAACATCTGTTTGAAAAAATGTGGAAGACAATTCAATGTATGTTTTTCATACTGCAGGAAAAAGTGTAAGGGTGCTTGGAAACTTACTTAAAGTGAGATCGAAAATTACTTGGATCTATTGAATATATTTTAAAGCCACACATTTCTTCGTAGAATGAAGAAATCACAGCAAGAATTATTTGCCTTAGGGCATTTAAAGATTTACTCATGTACTGTTTATTTTTATTTTTGGTGCTAGGTTTTTTCACAAAGGAAGAAGACAGTACATTTTCTGGATCTATGCATACATGTGAACTTAAACTTCAAGAACATTCTTTTCAATAAGTGATAAAGTTGTCCATACAAGACATGCCGACCAAGTCTCTAAATTACATTTCTGTAGGCTAATGAGAGCAGCTTTCTAACCTGAAGTAGTGATTTAAAGGGCTCCAGTTTTCATTAGGTAGATAAGTGGTACAGCATGGGCTCCCACTTCTGTGGTGGGACTTATTCCCATATGACCATTCTGTTCTGAAATACTTCAGATAAGGCATCATCATTTATCTTAATTGATTGATTGTATTGAAAACCAGTGGAAACCTTCTCTGTTAGGCTCTGCCCTGTCATTATTGTAATAATAAGGAGAGAATCTGGTGATAAAAAGCATAGTTTTTTCATGAGTATCTGGAAGCACAAAGAGACAAAATCAACATGTTAGTTTAATTTGAGCTGAATGTCTTCACTTCAGCCTTTTATATTCCAATTGTTTTATTAGATGTATAGGACATTAAAGAACACTGTAAACTTTGACTTCACTAAGGAGAATGGTAATAAAATCACATCCTGTACCTCTAAAGTAATTTCATTTGTTACTTTATGCAAGCTACTTAAGCTCGGTTTCAGATGCGCACTCTCTTTGCCTTTGTCTCCATGAATAGGGTCCATGTGAAATTGGTTTCTCAAAACCATTTCTCTCTGATGGGCTTGTCTTGTGTCTGTTGCCTTTGTATCTTTTTGTACCTGGACAGGAAAGGTGACAGAGGAGGTTCAGTCATTCCCTGATACCTTCATAGCATGTGGAACTTTGGTGGCTGCTTCCCAGGACTTAGCTGCCTCTTGGCCTTGCAGGAGGGGACTCTGGTTCTTAGGGCTGCCCTGCAAATCATGCAATGGTGGTGAGGGCTGTTCATGGTGGTGTAGCCACCATTTATTTGGGAGGGTGACAGGCTGGAATGGACATTCTGTCCCCTGGTGTTTGCAGTTTCCTTTGGACAGTAAAACTGCAGGCTTGCTCTGGGAAAGATAAGTAAAAGGATGAGGAATCTTGTAGAAGTTGGACTTCCTAGAAGCTTTGTAGACTGACTGGTCTCCAGCTGTATGAGAGCATCTTGTCCCTCAGACTCCTGCTTACAAACTGTGGTTTGTGTAATATCTTGTCCCATCAGGGGCCATCTGGGCTGTAATAGGGGACAGATCTCAGAGGAGTTATGTCCTGCCACACCCAAGGTGCCTTTGAGCATTCCTGTACTGCAGAGAAGGACTAAACTCTTCCATAACTTCCATAAACTCTTCAGGCAGTGTCACAGGGTCTTTGTGCATCCTAGTCTCTTCTGCTAGTCCTTTCATACAGCTTGAGTTTTTGCTGCAGAGGCTTTGTATATAGTGTAGTTCTATACAGGAAATGGCCATAAAAGTACTTCACTCTTTAGATTGTGCCTTGAAACTCTATTATTTCATCACATGATGAAAAATCCCAGCAACACACCTCTCCCTCCCTTCCCCAAGCATTTAGGCCATGATTCATTAAAAGCATTGTTTCCCTCTGAAAGAAAGGCTTTGTTTCTTATACTCATTTCTGGTTTTCTCCAGCCATTTATTCTCTTGCCTTTCATTTACTTTGTAAACTCTTGGAAGAAACAAGTTTTTGCTCGTTGATTTCTTTTTCTGTCTCTTAGTGCACTGCACAGTGAGGTCTTAGTCAATGTGTAGGACTCATTGGCACTTCAACAACACATCTCATAAGCCTTGATAGTGGTAGATCTACTTGCAAATATATTTCATTTAGTCTTGTGGTTATACACTTTTCCAGATGATTTTATTTGCCTTCATCACTGAATTACAGTTGTTTATCTAACTATGTCTTTAGGAATGATATTCTAAACAAATTTCCAGTTACACAAATTTAAAACTCTTTCAGGTTGAAAGAGTTGGTATGTCTTCCATACAATTCAAAATGAAGCTAAAATATTTCTTTCCAATTCATTTTGAATTAGCTGCTTTTTCCTCTTTCTGTTTGGACCATTTTTTCCCCCATATAGTCAGGGACATTTCCAATATATATGTTACTATAGATATCAAACATATTAGTTGTAACTATTACCTGTGCTAAAAAACCACCACTTGTGGCTGAAACTATAGTGGACTCACCTGGATCGAATCTTAATCATCTAAGAAACAAAGTACAGTTTTCACAATGTCTGTAAAGTTGGAGAGGTATCAAAAGTAGTGAAATTTTCCCATTATATATGGAAGTGGTTTTACTAACTCAAGTTTGTTTAGATAAAAGTAAAATCATGTTCCTAATGTGTATATTACAGTATAAATGCCTATTGTTGATTACTTATTACTGATATTCAGTATGATCTACATTTAGTAATGAAGTTAAAAAATTACCAATTTTTTTTCCAGCAAATGTGCTTGTTTAAAGTCATTAAGGTCTAGCATTAAGTCAAGTGAAATGAACTAACTCATGACAGAATGGATATGGATCCTCAAAGGTATCTTTAATGACCTAGGCATCAGTTTAAATATTAGGTTAGTTACTAGAGAAATGTCTGTGTATTTATTAAAAAATACAGTAATTGTAGTAATAGCTACAATAGCTACAAAAAAGTTAATTGCATTCTTTGAGCTGATAAAATCTAAATTAGTTGATTATGTAAATTGTTAGCATTTTTTACCATGTTAGATAAATATATTTTAAGAGGTAATTAAATGTTTTTAAAATAGTTACCCAGTTGCTACCCAACTTTAGTTCAGCAACATAAAATCCTAGGTGAAAACAAGTATTAACTGGAAGCTGAAATTACTTGATCTTCTAAATGTTGTCTTTTTCTTCTTCTTCTTCTCTATTTTGCAGCATGGGTGAGCTCTCTTTCTATGGGAATGGTCTTCTTCTGTTCCCCAATAGTCAGCATATTCACAGACCTGTATGGCTGTCGAAAAGTAGCTGTTATTGGAGCTGCAGTAGGGCTTGTTGGACTCCTTTCGAGTTCTTTTGTAAGGTAAAAAGCTTAAATTCATAACTTTCAAAGTATTTTATAATTTTTTTAGTGTTGTAATGTTGACCTAATCAACAGAAGGGGTAAAAAATGCTACCTTATTATCTGTAGAAAAATTGTTTTGTTTGGCTTTGTCTTTCAAACTATGACTTGTGAACTTTCAATTCAAAAAATATTTTTGAAAATTTAATGTTTATAAATAAAGTCAACAGTCCCTATTTAACAGGAATTTCTATATGTAAATATATCGACAGCAAGACTAGTGCTGTAAGATCAGCAGCATTGTCCAGGATAAGTGTACATGTTTGCATGATTTATGCTGTGTTTTAACAGGTACATAAACCTTCTGTCTGTCCCCTTAATTTTCTTTTGAGACACTTTTAATTGTGAGAAAAACACAGTAGGGCCTCCAGGATGCTGTTAAACTTCTAGTGAAATTGGATGTTTTCTTCTGTTCTTACTGGTCCAATTGCCAAACATGGAGATAGAGAAGACCTTGGTATATTGACTACACTAAAGGCTTATTTGTTTTCCCTTCTAGTTTGCAATTAACTTTTATGTTTCTTTTAATTTTTTCATTTGTATGTAACTTTTGCAGAGTAAATCTTAAGGAATTCAAGAGCAACTGATTTGTTGAATGTAGCCTGTAGAAGATGAGGAAACAGGAAATTTACTTAGTCATTGTCAGAAACTGGTTAGTGAAGGTAGGATGTAAAAGTAGCAGGAAAATAATCCAGTTACCTCTCATTCTCAGACTAATTTTTTTCCCCACTCTTAGCAGAATAAGTATAGGGACAATCAAACCACATTTAGAAGAGCTTTCCACTTAGGTGCAAATGTATTTATACAGGCAAAAAGCTTGTGAAAATGTCTTTTCTGTGCTTGTACTCTGCAAGAGCAAGATGTTTTGTAAAGGCTTTAAAAATATTTCAGCTTAACTAAACTTCAAAGAGCACTTTGAGAGATGAATTCTTGTAAGAGTACATGCCAGGTTGATGTGCATATTTGGTGTTTCATTATGTTACTCACGCTAAAATGATTGATATGCCCATGATGTTATCAGTTCATCAGAGGAGTATGGTTCAGATACAGAAGTCAGTGTTCTAGAAGTAAAATATTGTAAACCAGAAAAATGTTAGTAAAATCGCTGCTTTTGCATTGCACTAATTTCTTAATATAAATTTTATGTCTTAGGAAATTGAGATGTGTTTATAATGCAGGACAATATTTTAATATGCATGTTGTTCTGCAGACTCTAAATGAATTTTCATATGGAAGCAAAAATTCTCTGTCTTCACTGTATGATGTTGCTCCTCTCATTTTGTAACTTCTGGTTTTATTTTTCCTGCTTACTTTCCATTAATAAAGGTAATAAGCCTTTCCCCCTTATGTTGCTTCTGCTGGCTTATGTTGTACATCATCAGTTTCAGAAACTGACAGTTTAATATAGAAAGTGACAATATTATGTTACACAAGTAGTTATTTTTCACTATAATACACAAAACCAGAGTTCCTGGAGTCAGATCTTTGTTAGTCAAATACTATTTTCTAAGAAGTTCTTTAATTGCATAGGAAGCTTGTGGAATCTATTTTTGTACAGAGGAGTGTTGGCATCCTGTGAGGAAAAGCACTACGTAAAGCATTCATGCTCCTTTAAGAAAAAAAGTTAAAAAAAAGTTTAAAAAAGTCAAAAAGGTTAACTGTTTTCCAGAAGTGCTTTAAAAGAAGGTGTTAACTGATAAAACAAGAGGTGAGGTTTCATTGTAAATAAAGCAAAATTTTGTAAATAAATTATATAAACTCTCATATGCCACCTTAGAAAACTCATATAAATATTTCTTGCCCCCTGCCTCCATCTAAATGTTAAAAAATGTTTTCTTTCACTAACTTACACTACAGCACTAATTTAATTATACTGATGCTGTTACTTCATACTTTTAACATTTCTTGCACAAGTACTTTTTACTGATGTCACGTATTTGTGGTCAATTTATTTCAGTTGTAGAGTAAATGGTAATAATAGTGAACTTTATGATGAAGACACACCTTACTATGAGATTTTTCATTTCTTATTAACAATATTTTTTAGTTCTTTCTTGGCATATTCAATATATATATCAAAACACTGAATTTAAAATATTTATTCAAAAGGAGACTATTTGTGTAAAAAAATTAATACCTAAGGAGTCTATAATTTATCAATATGTTACATTACAATATTTTGTCAGTATTTAAATACTTTATTTTTCAGTATTAATGATGTGTGCCATGTTTGTTACTTTACTGTCATAACAAATTGTTTACTTGATTTTTCTGGGTTTGTGAGGAGAGTTCAGTATTACATTTGAGCTGCTAGCAATGAGGAAATGTGCAAATCAAAACAACACAATTTTCTTTGGAAAATAAGTATCCAAAAACCCAGCAATGGTTGAACTTACATTTGGCTAATTTGCCCAGACAATGATTTTTTAAAAACATTTTTTTAGCTACACTATTTGATGTAATTATAATTGAATGTAATTTTTCTTTTTATTACCTTTTCAGCGAAGTCTATGAAATTTTTCAGTGGAAAGAGATAGGTAGAATAGTTGCTGAATTAAGCTGATACAGTGCTATTTAACTGCAAGTATATATACAAATTCTTATTTACAGTAGTGAGTTTTGTTGGTTGATTGATTGATTAAGTGTTTTGTCGTCACTTCCAGGTGAATGAGCATCCACTGCCTTACGAAACACTAATGGTTTGTTCTTTTCTTTTGGTACAGCACCATTGAGCCTCTGTATTTCACCTATGGAATCTTGTTTGCCTGTGGCTGCTCGTTTGCCTACCAGCCATCCCTGGTCATTCTCGGGCACTATTTCAAGAAGCGCCTTGGACTGGTGAATGGCATTGTCACTGCGGGCAGCAGCTTGTTCACAGTGTCACTGCCCTTCCTCCTGAGGGTCCTGATCGACTCTGTCGACCTGTACAACACCTTGAGGGTCCTCTGCATCCTTATGTTTGTTCTGTTCCTGGCTGGATTTACATACAAACCTCTTGTTCCCAACACCAAAGAAAAGGAGGGAGGAAAGAAGGGAAAATTCAAATTACCTCCTGCGAGAAAGATTTGCAATTTCTCCGTTTTCAAAGTTCTCAGTTACCGAATCTGGGCTTTTGGGATCCCAGCTGCACTTTTTGGATATTTTGTGCCTTATGTTCACTTGGTAAGTGCACGTTTCTTCCTACGTGTGATGTGTTTGAAACTATACATACTTGCCTGTCTTTGTGTTATTGATTTAGAAAGCAATTGGTGATAGGAAGCCAGATTTAAACTGCAAGTTGTGTCTGGGAGAAATACAAAATTAATTTAGTTGTTGTCTTATTAAAAGAATGCTTTGATCAGAAGTATTAGTTAAGCCAGTTAAAATCTTTGTTCTCAATGCAAGGTTTAAAATACTTTAACCATGAAAAAGTAGATTTGAAAAATATTCTATACTATTTCAAAGAGAATTCTTTATTCTGGTACTCACCTGCATATACTGCCAGTAACACTTGTGTGTTTTAGGGGAAATGTGAAAGGAGTAAACAGTGGGAAACATATTAGAAGCGTAATTTTTGATTCTTTGTATTGAGGTATGTTCAAGTGACAGTTTTCAGGATCTATTATAGCCACCATTTTTCAGGTTTATTAAAAGCAAAATACCTGGATTTTTCTGTCTCTCAAACTTCAGCCTTGTAGTTTACTAGTTCAGCATTAATATAACTGCTGCTCTTCCCCTGTCCCTCCCAGCTGCCAGGCGAGCTGTGTTTTACTGCTGTCTGCAGCAGCTGATGGGGCTTTGGCTTCTGGGGATGGGGAAGATGGCAATCAGCCATTTCCTGTACATGGACTAGAGTTGTTTGCCCAGCAGCTGTTTTTTCTGTAGTACACTCCTAAAGTAAGAAATTTGGTGCAGCTGGGAGATGTGTGCATTTCTATCAGTCTGGCTGGCACACATTGTGCTGTTTAAATGGTGAATTATTGCTGGGCAGCTTGCTGGTGGTGCTCTCTAAACTGAGGTAGTGTAAACCAAAAGGCTTAAAAGGGAAAGGTGGGGGAAAAGCCCACAATCTCCAATGAGATGCTGCTTTGAGACCATCACACATCCTCATATTAAGAGTATTTGTTGATAGAGCATGGACTAGTAGAACTTAGTATGAAAACAGAAGGGTCATTTTAATACTCGTTATTTACCCATGATAGAACAGTGAGATTAATGATAATAATTATCTTCTGTCAAAAAAATGTCAATGCCTTAAAAGCTGGTTTTTATGCAATGTAACAAGTGGTTGTCACTGCTTCTGGTAATTAATTAGATTACTGACTCTGCATGAGATATTTATTTTTAAAATTACCTTATGGTGGGGGCTAGTGTGTTTTTGAGCAGCTGTAAACTGACTTGTATTAATGGTTAGTTCTTGTAACTTAGTTTTTAATCATGTAGATCTTATTGTATAACACTTCAAATTAGCCTGTTTCAGAGGACTATACAATCCAGATGACATCCTGTGCTATTTCCCCATGAGCTTTGTAGAGATGCTTTAAAATAAAACCAGCTTCAGAGGAGTAGGAGTCAAGTGTTCTAGAATAAGCTTTTGAATAGGTCATAAATGATTCTTACCCCTTGCAGAGTACTGAAGAATAAGACTATACAAGCAGGCACAAAGAACTTCTAAAATATATTTATTGAACAAAAAGCTTGTGATTTTTTTTGAAGATGCTTGTATTACTGCTTCCTGATTATAAGTCAGACTAAAGCAGCTAGTTGGCTTGTAGAGGGCAAAGCCCCTTATATTATAGTATACTAGATCATATTATAATAATATAAGTTTTTTATAGGGTGTTCTCAACTCTTGTGGAGTGCTTTCTCCCCCCACCAGATTGGCACAAATTCTGCTTAAGAAATAAATCTCTAGTATAGGAAAATTATTTGATTGGGAATGTTTCTAGTATAGTGTTTGATAACACCACAAAACTTATTCCAGTGTACTGTTAGAATCTAGTATTTTAAAAATTACCTCAAAATTATATAAAGATACTCTTTTTGCTCAGAGTTTCAGAGAAACCATGATGCTTAAGTGTTAACAACATTAAATCTTCAATGGTAGATGGACATGTGAAAGCCCCTGTATTAGAGAAAGTGCATAAATCAGTGTTTATGAAGGCTCAGCATGGATTGTGCCCTTCAACACAGATACTTCAGCTCAAGTAGATAGCTCTGGATGTTTCTTATCCCAGTTTTGTCTGCTTTTGATAAAAAAGCCACACTTTGCGTACTTCCAGAAGTACATAGAAGTATGTACTTAAAAATATGTCAAAGGCTATAAGAAAAAATAAATTTTTTTCACTGGTAGATCTACCAGACCAGAGACTATTTTCCTCAGCTTTTGAGAATGAAAGTTGCTATTACTTCATTGTTTATTGTATTTTTAAAATGGTAGTAATACCGGAAAAGGGACATGATCCTTAGGCAAGTGACAGCTTTTGTTATGTTAAAATTCT